ATGGCCGCGCGGGGCTGGCGGTCTGAAGGGCGGTGATGAAGGGGGGCGGTGATGAAGGGGGCGGATGAAGGGAGGTGTGCGGGCGGTGTCCCCGGGCCGCGCTCGGGCCCCGCCGGGAGCTGCGGGCGGCGAACGGGCCGCGCGCGCGCACGTGACTCCCGGCGGGCGGGGCGGGGCCGGCCGCGCGGTGACGTCACCGAAGAAGGCACCGCCCCCCCGCGCTGACGTCACCGCACACACTCCCGCCTCGCCGTGACGTCACCGCGGGCGGAGGGACACGGGGTGACCCCTGTAAATGGAGTTTGCTAAAACTAAGGAATGAATGGAGCATTATGTGCAAATAGGATCTGAGGCAAAGTTACAGCTCTGGCCACCTGGTCCCCAAACCTCCTGGGAAGCTGAGGACCCCAAATGGTCATTGAGATTCTATAAAGTTACTTTTTTAACGACATTGAACAGATACCCAAGATCCAGGCAGCAATATGGATTTGCTGTTGGTAATATATCAAGGATGCTGGGCTTGTAAAATGGTAGATGAACAGTTTTCTCTACAGTGTAATCCCATTAGATCATATAAATGAATGTAAGAATAATAAAATCTGGAGAGGAGATGACTCAGAAGGGAGGTGGTAACCATTGTGGGTTATCAGAAGAACACAGATGACTCTACTAACACATCTCCTTTGTTTGCTCAAGATAGTGATTCAGCCACCTTGTTTATAGTGTCTCTCACCAGCCCAAAAGCCCTCTGACCTTATCACAATGACAAAAACTTCCACGTAGGCGTAAACATTGGGCAACACATCTGTGGCAGGTGATAACATCGACACAACCTGGCTGTAAGGGCCTCTTTGCTGAGGCTGCCAGCTCAGCACGACAGTGGCACACATGCACACTGCAAATATGTAAGGGTTCACAGGGAAAACTGGGCCAAATAGGCTCATTTGCACACACAAACTACAAAGGCACAAAGGCAGGTGGTCGAGGAGAGAAGCAGCTGTGCCTTCTTGGCACGAAGGTCAAGGGAAAAATCAGTTTAAGCAACTGGAGCATATAAGGACCTTCAGAACGTGCACATGGGCTGGATGTCCTTTCCATCAGTTTGTTTTATTCTGTTGCTGTTCCTTCACTCTTTCCCTGCCCTTAAACTCTGCACAGTGAACAATGTCCTGGTCCTGCCCATTGGTACCAGGGCAGTGGGGTTTTATGCCAGGCAAAGGGCTGAGTGGGAGCAAGAGCAGCTGCCAGGCCAAGGAGGGAGCCAGGGCCACGTCTTGGGTGCCAGCCCAAGCAGGGGGTGTGTGGGAGGCGTAGCTCAAGACAGCCACTCATCAAGCAGCTTCCCAGAAAACCCTCCGGATTTCTGGGAAGGGTTTCCAGGAGGGCTGTCTGTGACCTGAGACCTGGGGAAGGATGTGTCCAGAGCTGTGTTCTCTTGAACACAGCCCCTGGAGTCGGTTCACTGGCTGGAATGGCAGGTCATGTTACAGTAAAAGCTGTAAGGCCTGATTTCCACATTCTCTATTTCCAGGCTGAGGCAGGACAGATGATACTGTTTATAACTTCAGTGCAATGTACACTCTACAACCTGTGGCCCATACAGAAGCAGAGATGGGCAGCAGTAGAAAATAGCCATAAGGGCAGACTGCAACCCAGCACGTCCCTGCCTGCCTTGTGTGGGATTTACCAGGTCTAGGGTGACATCTTTAAATACTCCACTCCTACACAAGCATCATCACTCCCTTTATGCCCCTTTGTGCTGCCAGAGATGCAGCAGCCACTGAAGTCTGGTACTTGAGCTCTCCTAATTCACATGGAAGCAGTTTAGGAGGTGTCTGACTGTGGGCAGCAGAACTGACAGAGCTGACTCCTCAGTCATCACATCTACAGCCCAGCACGGCAATTTAAATGTCCCTAGATTTCAGTTAAATTTAATACAGTGCAGCACCTAAGGTAGGTTCCTCAGGCAAGAATCATAGAATCATAGAATCTGTCCAAGACTGTCCAAACTACCAGTGAACACTTTTTGTCTACCTATGAACACTTATTGCTTAGTTCTGTATGTGCTGTAGGGTGTGAAACCACATATCCCAATTCATCCCCACTGAGGGTGTGTAACAACAAGTTCCAAGCTATTGGGAGCTTATACAATGATAATAAAGTAAAGCTACAGGCTTTTTGTGTAGAGCACTTCCCCTAAAGAATGCTGATTAACGGGGAGGACTCTACAATAACATAACACCGTGTTTTTTTAGCCAATAATTTGGTTAAAGCTGTTCCTTTCCACCTGGTTTCTCCCCTGTACCTGTGAGTGGGTGTGTTCGCTGCGCCCTCTGGTGGGAGCACCTGAGCAGCACAGGAAGGTGTGTTCCCGTCTAAAACTTGCATCTGATGAGGTGACAAAAGCGCTCTTCCACCACCCAACGCGAGCTTAGCAGGACTTGCCTAGGTGATCAACAGTGGATGGTTCCCTAATTTACGAGGCGAGCAGTTATCCCAGTGGAATTTACTGTTTGCCTTCCCTACCATGGCGGGCAGCACAGGGGGAGCAGTAGAAGACACTAATCTAATTGTCTTGCCGAGCTCATTAAGGAGTCTGTGACACGGATTCCAGCTGGGTGCCTGGGCTGGGCAGCCTGAATGTCCCCCGAGCTGCAGGAGAAGCCTGTTTGCCCGGGGAACACCGTCACACCGACAGAACAGCAACACGCCACTGGCTCCAGACATTTGTGCCACCTGCTCCTGCATCTGCTGGAAACTCATTCCTGGAGCATGGGCACATCCTGGTTTGTACCTGGGTGGGCCAGAGGACGATGGACACACTCACTGGAGCGATGCATAAGCTAAATTTGCACATTATTCCTTAGCCTGTGGAGTTGTCTGCCTTCCAGGCTGGAGGCAGCCCTGCCTGCCTCTACCTCTCGTTCCCCAGCAGAGAGCACTGCAAGAGCAGTGTTAGGAGCAGAGTCACCTTGGAGCAGTGAGGGATTAGGCATAAGGTTTGATCTTTACCAGCTCCTGTGCAGTCTCTGACTGCTCCTCCAGTTTTGCCTATATATGCCTATCACCCACTCTGGACACTGAAGATACTCTGTCTTGTGGCTCCTGCTCCTCTTCACCAAATAGATCTCCAAGGGGAGATCAGTTCTAAAAAGCTCAGGCATTGATGACTTTTTCTGGGACACAGTGCCATTGGCACTGTTTGGGCACCTCACTTGCTTGATCCAGACAGCAAAATTCCTACCTGCTTCCTGGCCATCATCACCTGATTTTCATTTTCCCCCACCAGGTGGAATGAGGAGGTGTTTTTGCTCATACCTGTTCACCTCAACAGCTGTACAGACGGGCTGCTCTGGAGTGCTTCTCCTTCCCCATCATAACTTTCTGGTAGTGATCTCAAACTTGGAAAACATTGATTGTCCAGTCCCTGGACTGCTTCACGTGCCCAGTGGGATATTGTTGGGGAATCAAACTCTTTCTTGCTTCAGCCATCCATTGAATTTGAGCTCTGGGGGTACCACACACCATGATGTGTCTGCTCCTCTGCCACAGGGTGCCCTTCAGTTCTGTGAACTGGAGGAGGTAGCTCTGCAGAGTGCAGGTATTCTGTCCAGGGGATGTGGGTACAGGCAGGGGAACCAGAGGAACACAGGTTTTGTGGTCATGCTGTGGGCCTATCAAAGCACCGGGAGAGTGGGCCAGATCTGGGAAAACACTGTGTTCCAGACACTGTTGTTACAGCACGTGGAGTGTTTCTAGGGAATTTCATGAGGATAAATGTGCACAGAAACATTGTGGCCTCCACAGATCAGACACCACAGGAGCCACATCAGGGGAAGTTCCTAAATTACTCTCTTGCCAGTACGGAATGAACCCGACCAGGAAAGGGTTGAGCCGACTATTCCTGGGACTTGTTTTGTCTGGTGGCTTCCTACAAAGTGGAGCAAGGACTCACCAGCTTGTTCCACATCATTAGCAGCTGGCAGCTTGCCAACCATTACCAGCCTAGTCTGGATCTCACCCAGCATCTTGGAGATGAAAGACATTGCAGCACCACTGCACTCACTGTTTTAGGTCCCAGTCCAGCTCCCACTGCAGTCAGTTACTGTTTTTCCTCTGGGTGCAGCTGGAGCTGGGTCTGACATCCCTGTAGCAGATGTATCTCAAGTCCTCAGATTGGTGAAATATTGGTAAAACAGTCCAACACAGCAGATAGGTGCCTGCAACCCCGCTATTTTAAAACCAGTAACACAGTCAAGCAGGAGCATGAGGAATTGTGTTTCTTTCCTGAAAACACTGAAGGCTTGAATTTAGAGCAGCCAAAGCACCTGGTGAAAGGAATCTAGAAGCCTGCTTAAGTGCATGTCCGTGGGAGGCTGATACTCTTTCCAAAGTGCATCCCTGCCAGGAACACCATCAAAGAAATCTCTCTGGTGGTGATGAGCATCCCAACAGCACTCATCTGCCCTAAGAATGGCTGAGGTCATTGCTCAGATTTTAGGAGCATCCTTGGGAGAAGTGTGTGTCCAAAAGAGTATCTATCCAAAGTCACAGTGAAGACTACGTAGCGTCCAAGAACATAATGAAGAGACACATCACGTGGCTATTCTGTCAGCAAGATTTTGTTGAGAGCATTTCAAGTGATTTGATGGGCATCCTAAAGGCTGTAAAATGCACCTGCATATTTGAATTCCTTCTATCTGTCTCATTTTGCAGTGAGGGATTATTGACTCCTCCTGTTTTCCATGTGGAAAGCTGAAGCACAAAGACAGTGGGCACAAAATGATCAAGCAGGGATGAGGCCAGGGCAGGGACTGCCTTGCCCAAAGGTCAGCAGTTGTCTGTCACAACATGTACTCCCTCAGTCAGCTGTGCTTGGATGTTCTGGATGGAGTCTTGGGTTCTTACATGACTTGGCCTCTGATTCTGAACACGTTTTCATGGCTAAAATAGGTTTAGTTCCACCTCCAGGGCCAAGACACCAAGGAGCAGCTGCTTGGTCATTCTGCCACTGCAGGCTGAGCCACCAGGGGAGCAGCAGCCTGGCAGCACAGGAACAACACGGGCATTCAAGGGGATGGGAAAGTGGGTAAAATTGTAACCGGCAAAAGACATTTTTTCCACACTAACACGGAACTGAATTCAGGAGCTTGAGGTAAGAGGATGCCACTAAGGCCAAGAATTCAGTCTTTTGTTTTTTCTCTCTAGAAGAACAGGAGGTGTGATCAGTGGGAACGAGTGACTGAGAGCCCTGAGAGCCCTTGGTTACTGGGAGGCTGTTCAGAACTGGCCTGTGGACAACCTGGATCCCTGCTGACTCAGAGAGCCACCACCACTGACCGTGGGAAGGCCAGCTCTGGTTCTGCTGGAAACATCAGAAAATACTGGTGGCTTCACACTGTGGTAAGGATGACCTGTAGCACAGTGCTGAGATATCTCAATAGCTTTCCCTCCGAAGGATACATGAAGCTTCCAGAGGTCTGTGGGGAATACCAGGAGCCCATGAGAGCCTTTTTCCAAGAACCAGCATTATTGAAGTGCAGTGGGTGAGCAGAGCTATTCCAGCCTTGGCAGTTCAGTAAAAATGTAGCCTAAATAGCCAAATATAGGGTATATAGACAAATATAGTCAGAAATAATCATGATTTCTGGAGAATGAAAAGGGGATCAATGGGAAAAAATAGCAGCATCCCTCTCTGTGAACCCCCTTCCCTCCATCCTCATAGCCTTCTCTGTGGGCAAGGCTGGGATTAATAGGAAACATATGGGAAGAGAGTCTGTGATCCAGGGCTCCAGGATGAGCAGCTGAAGCATGAAGGAGCTACCTGGACCCTATTCAGGAGTGAGCTCAGGGATCAAACATCTTGTGAATGGGGAGTGGGCTGGGTGGGGAACTTAAAAGGTGCAGGGTCCAGTTTGGTGGTTCCCACCCTCCCAGGGCAACACGCCAGTCTGAGAATGTTCCAGATGCAGCACAGCAAAGCATGAGAGTCACTAACCATACCCTGCACCTGCCCACAACACCTCTTTCCCTTCCTCCCAAATCAAACTGTCAGAACTGGACAAGCCATGAGGGACATTGGTCCTTGCTGAGGTCTAAAGACAATGTATAATGCAAGTGAACAGTGTGTTGTTACACAGCAGAATAGAGTTGCTTCCAATTCAAACCCTAAAATCATGGTGACAACCTGCACCGCCTACATGCTCTTGTCATCCCTCAACTGGAATTATAGCAGAAACATGGTGAAGAAAATTTTCAGTGTGACAGTGCTCTGAATATCTTTGTTTCCTGTGTTTCTGCTTCTCTGCAGTTTAACTAAAAAATACCTGCAAGAATGCCATGAAATATCCTTCATCTTAACAATACCTCTCACCTCCCTGGATTTGCACATCATCACTTGATTTAATCTTTCCCTTAAAAATAAGGAGTGGGTTTTTTTAAAGAGGAATTAAATAATCTAAGTGAGGGTGGAATGCACAGGAGACAAGCTCAGTTACAAATGCTCTGCTGTTTTATTAGCTAACATCAGCATAAAGTGCTCAGTAAAATGGCTGCCCATCCCATCAGTTTTATTACCTTCCACATGTGCTTTTTTATTATCATTAGCTGAGCTTTAAACAATCCTTTCCAACCTTTCCCGTGTCTTGATCTTTGCTGTCCTCACTCCAGAATTAAGTAACAAGGTTGTAACCAAGCATTTTCTATGTCTTACTGTACAAGGTTCTTTGGGTTATTCCAGGACTACTTTCTTTACCTCATCCCTGACATGGTGATTGTGCCATGAAGTCTGTGCACAGACCCCCTGAAATTACCACTCTAACTACAACATGAAAGCTCTGGGTGACCTTCAGATTTATCTCAGTTAATCTTCTGTCCAGCATGGCTTTAAAAAGATTTGGTCTAACAGCCCAAGACTTGGATTAAGTTTTATGGGAACAAAAGCAGTAATTGCTACAATTTGAACGTATTTTTTTCTTAGGTTTGTTTTTTATTTAGTGGATGGGAATTTCCATTTAAAAATGCTCTGCAACGTTACAATCTGGATACAGGAACAGTGAGCCAACATGGCTCTTTGCAATACAGCAATAAACCCTCAAGGACTCTGTGTCCTATTGTTGCAGTTTTATGGGCCCTGCCTCTTTTTCTATAAATTTGAAGCTGTCGGTCACCAGATCCTTCTAGAAAACTCCTCACCCGCTTTCCCCAAGAACTCCAGAATAACCTGCAATGCTCTGAAACATCTCAGGATTTCTTTTGGGACCAAGTCTGGACAGGAGGATCTTTCAAAGCTCGGCCCTTTCCCTTTCCCCCGATGCTGAAGAGCTGCCTCCGTGTCACCGATGCCAGAGCTTCCTCACTGCCATCCAGCCCACCCAGAGACACCCACCCAGGCTGTTTGGAGCTGTGGCCCCGGGTGAGCTGTTCATTCCCTGGCAGCCAGGACTCGGTGAGATGGGACTCTACACTGCCTGTCAGGGGTTGCACTGGTGTGTGTTGTGCATGCAAGACTTCGGAGCTCTTGCTCTGCTGGGGCCACCAGCCTGGAATGTGCTTCCTCCTGAAGGGTGTCCTAGTGACAGTCTAAAGGAACTTTGTCATTTTGGCTCGACTCTGTGTTCCAGTTACCTGGGGGGTTGTGCTGGTGGCTGAGAAGTTCTGCCCAAGCCAGTGCCTTTCCCTGCACTGGGCAGAGGGTGCTGGTGGAGGGGCAGAGATTCCTCCCAAGTGGGAGGAATTAGAGTCATGCAAATGGCAGACAGATGCTGAATTCCTCCATGCTGGGATTCCTCAGGAGAAGAGAGTGCCGTGCTGTAGGCACAGGGACAAGGTGTGAGTAGGAAGCGTGTAGGGAATGGGGGAGCCTCTCCCACCAAGAATATGTGCTTTGTACCCTCCACTTCTCTGCTTTTCAGCCAGCCAGCAAAATTAAAAACATGTGAGGGGTGGAGCAGGAGGGCAGGGATTTATGGGTTGGTTTATAGGAGATGATATAAAACACTTTTATGTCAAGTCCTCTGTTGTGTTAATTTCCTTTCTCCTTCTCTTGCTCTTTACTTCACCACATGCAGGAGAGGCAGAGCAGGACAGATCCAGGCTCTCTGCAGTCCCAGCACAAATCTATCTACTGGCCTGTGGTCAGTGGCCAGCCCACCCCTTCTCTTACTGTGCCATTTATTGTGGCTCATGGGAAATGAAACCTGGAGCCAGGTGATGTCTTTGTGCTGTGGGCACTTCAGACTTGTTGGTTCACCAGCTCTTCTCACAGCTGTGCTGAAATGTGCCCTAAATGCCACTGCCCTTGGGATACCTTTTTGTCTAATCCTCAGGATTCCATTGCAGTTTTAATCCCATTGTCAAGACCTACATGGTTCACAGTCTAAGGGGATGAGGCTGGTAAAAGAAGTAGAGTTATTTTTATTTTGTGGATGTGTAGAGACGCCTGTGAGAGTTGGTAAGTGGCTGAATGTAGGTTGTGCCAGTGTGTGAGCTTGTTGTATGTTGGCTACTGTGAGAAACAGGTGACTCCTTAGCAAATGACATTATTTGATGTAGTTCACACTTCTTTGTCATCTCTGACCGAAACAATGAGGAAAGGTAAGGGATGAGAATGGGTTAAGAGGGAAGGGGAAGCAGCATAAGCAGATTTTAAAAAATAAATTAGTCACTGCATTCAAGGCAAACGGCAGCCTGTGGATATATCCCACCCAAAGGGGACTGAAAAAGTGACCTCATGCTGCTTGTCAAATCCAGCCCCATCCCTCCCATGACTACCTAATGCTGCAGCTCCATCTGTCAGGAAGCGAGTCCTCACCAGGGCCAGCTTTACCATAGAGACACAACAGTGCTCGTCATTTGTAGTGACTCTATTAGACAGCCTGCCCTGGTCAAGGCATTTTCCAGTAAATCTGGGAGCAGCAAACAATTACTAAGTCCTGCACTGTCACATGTACATGATGCAGAGTGGCTGAGTGCTTAGGTGCAAGTTTGTGTCATGCTTTACACACTGTGCAAACCCCCTTGGTTCGTCTGGGCATCGCTGCTGTGCCAGAAGAACCTTGTCCTGGCCCTGGATCCTCAGTGTGCTGGGGGGGTGACCAGACTGGGTCACCTCTGCCTCGGTTTTGTTGTTCAGCTCGTGCATAACATCCTTGGAAAATGCAATCCAGCCAGGCAGGGCAAACTGCAGCAACCATCCCTGCAGTACCTCACATGTTCTCTGCACCTGATGAACTGTACATGAGCTGACCACAGACTGTCACTTGGGCATAGAGGGCAGAGCTGCAGAAAATCTTGGTTCCTCTTATTCAGGGGCACAGGCAGAGAACACAAGGAGGAAAGGCTGCCACTTTCTCCACAGACAGCTGCTCTTTCCTCCCTTCCTCCCGTTTCTGAGGCATCTAAAAACCCAGGGTCAGCCTTCTGCTTCCCAAGCCAAACTTCAATCCCAGCACAGCAAGATGCAAGTCCTGGCTGAGCCATGCTCACAGTACCAAGGCTAATTCAACGCAGAACAAGGTCATTCTCTGCCCAGCTACTCACACACATACCCACATACCCAGCCCCAGCACTGGTCCAACACTGGCTGAGTTGTAACCTGCCCTAGTGCTCTTCCTTTCCTTTGCTTTTGTTATTTTCAAAGATGAACCACAAAAGTAACCTCTCACTGACTAAAGTCCAGCAATTTCTTTGGTGCAGGAGAGCCAGATTGCTGCTCAGAGACTCTGAGGAGTGTGCCAAGAGGTACTGCCTCAGGGATCCTTGAGAAACAGTCTCTGTGTAAATCTTTCCCCTTGGATGTGTTTCATGGAGTCATCCAGAGCCTCATCAAAGCCAAAGGCAACACAGAGGGGTGGCAGGCAGTAGCAGGTGACTGGATGTGATGGTGCAGGAGGCCACCTGAAAGGATCAGGACACCACAGCCTCTGCCTGGGTACAGTTTGTCAAGAACTCTGAGCACAGGTTGGGCTTCAGCCAACTTGGCTTGCACAAGTAGCGTTTCATGAGGATTTTATGGGGCTCCCTGGGACCACGGGCAGTGGCAGCCCCCCTCTCCCCCTGCCTCATCACCCTGATGTTAAGTTATTTTACAATTATTATCTGAAGTCAGTGTTTAGCTGTTGCCCAGGTAACAGCTCAAACATGCCTCACCTCATGGCCTCCCTGCAGCTTCACATGGCTGCTGGAGAGCTGGGAAGCAGACTGAGTGCCAGGCGCTGAGGAAATGAGCTTTGCAGCCTCCCCAGGACATCCCAGAATATTGGAGAGCTTGGAGGAGAAACATCCCCAGCCAGATTCCTGGGCAGGCACCTCATTCAGCACACAGTGCCTGACACAAAATCCACAGCATCCCCCCCACTCCTCACACCCTCCAGCTTCTCCAAACACGTGCAAAGCCACGAGGCAAAGGCAGCCCAGCTCACACCACCCCCTCTGGAACCTCCCCCCTACCTGCAAAGGCAGGCCCTGGGATGTATCCTCTGGGAAAGGACACACACTGGGAAAACCTACAGCCAAACAGATAATCCTGCAGTACACACTCTGTCCTCCGGAGCCACTGCCTGAGCTGGATACAAGAACTCAACACACGGAGCCTTTCAGTCCCTGCAAGGGGTTAAGCAGCTGGAATGAAGGCTGTGGCAGGCACTCAGCAATCCCAGACTGCTAATACGGGATTAATAATTCAGGCAACTCACTCACTGAAGTCACGGGGAATGTCATCTGGGTAAAGGGGTCATATCAAGTCTGGTGTCCCTTTTCTACAGCCTTTGTATCAAATGAGCTCATCTCCCAGGCCAAACACAGTTCTGGCAGTGTTGCTGCTTGGTATATCATGACCACAGGTTTACCTTTCCAAGGCCTGTAGAAGTTAGCTGCATCCCATAAATCATCAGGGACTCCTCAGGGACTGACTGGCAGCTCTGTGCTCCCTGCAGTTTGCAGCCCTGCCTGCCTGCATGCCACAACCACAGTGAGATGTTCTACATTCACAGTCGAGCCACAGCAAGTCTGTCCCAATTCCCCACTCCTTCAGGGAATGCTGTGGCCTTTGTCAGAGAGGAGCAATGCTGTACAGCAATTAGGCAGCTTAAGGACTCATGGAGGCTCTCACATGCTGCTGACTAAGGTTACAGTCCAGTGAGATTTCACCAGTGTTGGCCCAAAATGTATTTACAGCCAGTGCTCGATGTGAGATGTGATCCCTGGTTCTGTCAGTCGTCCATCATGGAACAGCCCCACGATATGCCAAGAGTGTTCTCAGCCTCCAAACAAAACCCAGGAGTGGGAAGGAGTTCACACAGTCTCCCTTACATAGCTACAGATAATCTGGCCCGAAGTCGTTCACTGTCCTTAGTCAAAATACATATTATTACTCTCATGTTGCATGGGAAAATACATCAACTTTGCTTGTGACTCTGTATTTACTAGCTGAGGTTCCTGCTGCAGCTCTATCACCATGGCTTTAACAAGCAGCTCATGCTTGTTTATTCTTCCTACCCAGCTCAGTCTTACAGCCATTTGCCACCCCTCTGGTATCTCAGCCTGCCTTGCCAGCCCCAGCCCAGCCTCAGCTTGGATCTGTCTGGGCTGGTGAAGGTGAGTCTGTGATGTTTCGGACCTCTTGCACTCAATGGTGCATTGAAGCACATCAGGAAAGGATAAGGTCAGGTATTTCCTTTGGGCTGGGTGCCCAGTAGCTTTGGAGCAGGGGAGGAAGAGAGTTTCCAAGGCCCCCTTGGAAGGTGGGGCCAGTGCTGCTCTGGCATGGCAGGAGGAGAGCAGTCTCTTGCCAAGCCTCCTCTGGACCCCTGATCAAACACTTTGGGGCACCCCCTTTGTGCTAATAGATGAAACCACTACTCTCATGAATCTGGGTGCCCAAAGCCAAGTTTAGATACAGTCTAGACGCAGTAGCATATTTATAACCTTGGCACATGACGTGGCAGCAGTGGGGTATAAACAACATTCAAAAGTGATGAGGTGCCACGTTATTTATACATCAAAGTGCTCCACGGAGGTACCACAGCCCTGAGGGCAGAAATCACAACTAATTGGAGATAGGAAGAAGCTGCCCTATCAGTGGGAGTGGGGGTTTTGAGAATGGGACACAACAACAGTCAAGATCACTGTCTAACCTGAGCTCCACTGACCACATCTCACTGGGAATTCTCAGTACGCAAGAATAAATTTGATTTTACCTGTTGCCACACGCGATGAAGAGAGTGAAGAGCAGCTGAATGGCTCAGCCACTGCCTGAGATGTAGGCAAATTTCCATTCTGTCACAACAGCAAAACCATCCATATTCAGCAGATAAAATTCACAGTGAAACTCTACTGACAGCTTGGCACGACCAAGTGGAAGTAACTCTCTCACAAGTCTAAGAACTGACTAAGTCATGACAGGAACACGAATCAGCACCTGTACCACCTCTTGAATACAAGAGAACATGAGTGCAGTGAGCCTGCAGCTGCTCAGGTGTGAGGCAGTAAGGCATTACTGGATATACAACCTCTGCAGCTCCTTGTAATTAATTCAATTTTATGCAACATAGGTGCAGCCCACTGTTAAGCAATATTTGGGTGACATTGTCCTGAGCTAACGAGGTCAGATAAAGATCTAGCTGAGAAAACAGAAGAATTACAGAATGATATGTTCCAGAATATTGGCCTGTTTATGGATAAAACTGATTTAGTGGAGGGTTAATACCTATGGATCTCTTTGATCTCTTGGGCTGAAATGGGATGGAAGTACAATTTTTGGCCCGGGAGCCTGAGCTTTCAGCCATCTCTCTGGTTTCCTTGTGGGAACTGCACCCCTAGAGTAGGCTCACAAGATGATTTTGATTCCATCTTGGCACTGATACAGGAATCAGGCAGGGTTTTAACTGCTTATGCTTCTCAGCAGGCAGTGGCTCTCTGGTGTGTTATCAGTGTGGCTCAGTGGTGCCTGGAGGCTGTTAACATCCCAGACCTCTGAAACACCCCTGGGACAGCCCGGAGACAGCAGGCAG